TTACAACTAGTATTTCTCATCAGATTAGACAGGTCTAGCAGAAATACGACTTTCTTTACAGTTTAAATTGTTTTATTGCAGAATAACCATCAAGATAAGCTACAGTGCTCTGTTTACTTTAAATATTCTATCTTAAAATATCCTTGCAATTAAACAGATTGAGCTTTATTTATTTATACAGATAACTACAAATATATCAGGATTGTGTGTCACTTTATATTCAATGACAAAAAAAGTGCTTCTGCGACTATAGGGGTATGAAAACAGTAGCTCTCTAAAACTGTGAAGTAATGGCTAAGTGTTGGACCAACAATAGGAAGACTCGGGTTTTAGTCCCCTGTCCACTGCAGAAGCTCACTGGGGGGCTATTGAGAAAAAAAACAAGAGGAGGGAGCACTATGTTCACCATCTTGAGCCCCTGGACAACAGGCAGCATATCAATCTAATAAATTAAATGAATTCCTCAAACAATGCATGCCTATTCCTGGGATCACATGGCAGATATTGAAATAGGTTAAGGGTATGAAGAAGTGAATAATAGGTGAGCTGTAGAAAGAAAGAATGGGGAGAGGAAAGAATTAAAATTTCGAACTGGATTCAGCTACAATAGCAGACTTTATATTTTTGCATTTTTGCAATGCTAAAATGAGGAGTATGTGGTGCAGGGGTGTCAAACTGCCGGCCCATAGGCCGGATGCGTCATAGCAAAACCACGCCCACCCCATTGCCAGCAGTGGAAAAAAAGTTGCGATACATCGCGATACATCACGTGACTTGCGAGTTTGACACCCCTGATGTGGGGAAAAAAACCTTTGACAAATTTTATTCCAGGAAATTGAGGAATTGGTATGTCATTGTACTCACCAAATGGGATGTTTTCTGCTTCCCCTCTTGGTCACTAATTCTCTCCTGTTGGAGAGCAGCATTCAGACTCTGGCTGACTGCCTCTTCCCTTTTTGCCAATCGAAGTAGCTCTTCTTGGACCATTGCTTGCTCCTGTTCATACCTGTAAAGAAGAAAGTAATCAGCAGCAGCTATAGGCTAAAAGTTCTCAAATTATGAGACAGCAGTCTTACTAGATCCAAGAGCTGGTGTCAGTAGGTCATCACAGTACATTGCAGAATTAAATTTCACTGCAATGAAAAACCCAATGTACGGGATAGTCATAACCAGGTGTATTGTTCAATGATTTTCCAAGGAGAAGAATAAAAGATATAAAACACTTTATAGATGCTTGGACTGTGAAATATTTATATTGTTTCTTTAGCTTAAAATGACACTTTATAATTAACAAAAACAATTTTAAAAACTGACAAATTATTTTACAGCATCATAATCCTAAAAACATAACATCACAGTCAAAATGAATATGCTCGGCCAATGTTTATGTAAATTCTAAACTATAAAATATTGGTTTATAATCCAAATGCAGATATAAATATTAAGAGACACCACTGTGTTCCAGTGTCACTTTTTATACAGTTTATTTTTTTTTGGTCATATATTGTGAAATTTGTCAGATTTTCTGCAAGGAATGGTATCTTACAAAATGCCCAATCCACTGATGTAATGGAATGAGGAATAAATAAACTTGTATTATGTTTTAACCAGATTACACCAGTCTTAACATACAAAGAAAAAAGTAGGGCTTGGCTTCAGCCATAGTTTTAGACAAGGCTGTACTCCCTGTAGTAGAGGAATTATGCGTTGGAGATTCTCTGAGATTTGTGGTTCCTACTGAAGTAGCAAGTAGAAACTGTGGCCATGGTGCCTCTGCTCAGGTTTGACTAAGGTGGCAACTATGGCTGGACTCCTATGACTGAACAGTCTAATTAATTACTTATGGCTTTATTGTTATGTGGTTGGACCACTGCAACATACTCTATGGGGGCCAGTCTCTGAAAACATCCTTTGAAGTTAAAACATACAGAATACAGCAATCAAAGTACTGGACCCAATTTAAAATGCTAGCCATTAACTAAAAAATCCTATACAGCAGGATTTTGAATTATCTTAGATTGCCTTATACTTTATTGCAACACGCACACCTTCCCCAACAGGCTATTGCTCTCCACCCTTCTAAATATACCTTTAATACTTAGTGCTTTAATACTTGGTCCAGGCAAAAGTCTATTAATCTGTAAAGTAACATACATTCTTCTAGAGTTCTTACTCTATTTGGATGTTGTTTCAGTGTGGTTGTTCTAATTGGTACTGAGCTCCCAACAAAGCTCCAAGCAGGACTCCTACCATTTGTCTGAAATGATATAGGGTTTCCTGTCCCAGCAGCGGGTTGGACTACAAGACCTCTAAGGTCCCTTCCAACTTTCTTATTCTGTTACTCTGTTACTCTATTCTAAATAAGTCACTCTGCTCTCTTAAGTTATTAAGATACTAAGATACAACCTACTCAGAGGGGAATGGGACAACTTGCTACAACCAATTCACTGCAGCTGACTCGCCATGGCCAGCTCACCACGGCCAACTTGCTGCGGGACAACTTGCAACATCCAACTCACCGCAGGACAACTCACTATTATTATTATTATTATTATTTATTTAACTTATATGCCGCCCTTCTCCCCATGGGACTCAGGGCGGCTCACAGCATGTTAAAACAATATAAAACATTTCCCCTATAAAAGCCAATTAAAAACCAAATATTTATAGCTGTGTCTTATTAAAATCATTAAAATTGTCCCTATTTAAAATTCATCCTAGGTCAGTCCCGCTTGCTGAAAAAGCCATGTCTTGAGG